TTACTAGTTGCAGATGTTAGATTGGTGGAAGGCGTACAAGGAGTTAGAGCAGGCAGAAGAAGGGCAAAGAGAAAACAGGGACATGGGCCATTATGTTCTCATAATAATACATAATAAATAGATTTACAATAATAAATAACTAGAACAAATAATAAACAACTGGAAGGTGTAACTCCAGTAGTCAGACTGAAGATAGTAATTGAAACTTGTTCATTTTGATCAATAGATTAATACATTAGATTTACTGAGTACTTAGCATGGTATTAGTGACCATAGGAGATTTAGGGTAAATAGAATTTGGAGTTCTTGGTTTCTAGTAGGGAATAGCCTAGATAGGAAGATGAGGGTAGGACACATGAGATCATCAGTGACAAGTACAGTGCGGTAGATGGCACAGCGCTAGATGATACGTAGAGGAGAAAAAACGAGATGAGAGGGGCTGGAGCTCTTTGAGGTGGAACAGCGAGTCTGGACTAGTCGGCAAAGGCTTCACTGAAAAAGTGGAGGTTATACTGGGTCTTGAAGGAAGGCTAAGGGTCCTAGAGGCAAAGGCGGCGCTGGGTGAAGGACTGAAGTGGACATGTGTGCACAGGGCAAGTTAATTTGGTGCAAACTACCTGTATAAGTGCTGTGCTAGCCAGATCTTGAAACCAGGCAAGAAGCCCTCCAGGGCATCCTGTGTTTCAAAGTTGAGCGGGGAAAGAAACCCTCGGAAGACAGAAAACTCTGTACTCAGTAAAAATAGACCACCCAGTTAGTTTCTTTTCAACAAGGGTTAGGTATGTGGAGGTACAAACTCACAGCACCCCATTCTACAAACAAAGCTGTGAACAAATGCTATAATGTCAACCAATGTGTTCATAAAGCCATAGTGGAGAAGAACCAGAGTAACAAACAGGTCTTTTTAGTCACAAACGATAACCTGGATAACATCAAAACTAGCAATCCACTTTTCATATTTTACAGCAAATATGTAATAAAGATCAGCATCACTGAACATACTGGCAATTTCCCCCTCATGAGGAAAGTTGGTTCATTCATTTTTCTGTTCAAAAATGAAAAAACTGAATTGGTTTCATGATTCACTAGAATTCTTGGGAGAAAAATTAATGTGTGGACAAGGAGACAAGAGTAGATACCATCCATTTGGAAATTCCATTTTCTTGGTAGCACATATATGCTATTTCCAATGATGAATCATGAAACTTCCCTACTTCTCCCCTCCTGAAAGAGTTGACTTTTGGCATAATTTTTTTTTTTTTTTAAAGATAGTCTTGCTCTGTCATCCAGGCTGGAGTGCAGTGGCGCAATCTTGGCTCACTGCAACCTCTGCCTCCCAGGTTCAAGTGATTCTCCTGCCTCAGC